ACTGCTACTTGATTCAGTTCGTATATGCTCATCATCACACTTAACTGGGGAACTAGGCTCATCAATAGTCTCTTCAACTTCTTGCCAATCTTCTTTGATGTCATTGGTTTTCTCAATCTTGATGGACCACTCAACTTTCTTGTCACAATCTCCAACAGTTTCGTGAAAAATGATATCAAGAGAAACTACAACATCTCGTCCCTCCAGATAATAGATTCAATATCGTTCATCGCCATTGTATCCAACCACAGCTTTCTTGTCCATTTTCCGCCTCTTCTGCACAGGGATATGGACACTTTGAGCTGACGACTCGCAGATGTTTGATCCTCGGCTTTTGACCAAACCAGATCTCAAAGGGAGATTTGTTACGGTGATCATCACTGACGCACTGAGAAATTAATATTTTCGCCTGTGTCGTCGATTTGTTGAATTTATCAAGTTCTTCCTTTTCAGCTTTAGTCGGAGGCTCAGAGAGAGTAGGCTTTTCTCTCTTTCCCTCGACGATATCAACCGCGTCAAACAACTCTAGAACGTCCAACACTCGATCTTTCCACATAGGCCAATCTTCTGCTCCTTTCAATGGTTTTTTTAGCTTTCACGGATTCCATTTGTAGAGCTGGACGAACTCGATCAAAAGATATTCCAAAGAAACACTCATGAGACAGAAAATCTCGTCAGAATAAATATCGTTAGGTTCTTACAGTGTACCTAGTGGACTAGATTTCCCAACACTGTTATGTACATAAAACGATGCTGGCGACCATAACCTCTTGAATTATTCTCCCAAGTGGAGGTGTTTAGAGAAAATCTAAGTTGTACTACGATGAAAAAACTAATTTAAACTATAAAACAAGCAAATATATTTCTCATCGATGTTTAAGAGACATGGAACGAATTTGGACAAACAAAACAGGCAGCTATTAATAAATCAACATTCACATCATCTGTAGTATGTTTATGACAAATAACAAAAGGCAGGCATTTTCAACAAACACGCCATGAGCGCTATACTGCCTTTGAGCCTCAATTGCATTTCCATCACAGTAACCATAGACAGATCATTTATGCATATTCCTGATTTGAAAAGGACATCTTAAGATCATTTCCAATGAATAAATTACCAAAACCCACTAAAAATTATAATTTGTAAGTGATAGATTGTCTCATGATTAGGTAGGATGTAATCAGATATTGGGAAATTCTTTTAAATTATCCTTAAATGATACGTTTATCAACTGATCCTGATTGAAGACAATCTTGATAGAAATAATCTCAAGAGCTAGATTGATAAAATCCTGTTTTAAAATACAATAACGCTAGGCTTCTGAGACTGGCTTTTGATATACTTGAATGATATACTTCATATAAACACATGCTGACAAATCATTCTCAACTTCTAGTTCCGTTAGGTTAGGATTAACAGTAATGGCAAAAAATAAAATTTGAATAAGGATAATTAAGGACAAAACAAAGTCTCGGTATAAATATTTATTTAGATACTCTTCTTTCGAGCTTTTGCAATATAAAATTACTTAAAAAACCATGAAACAAGATAAAACTATAGTTGCGGACTCTGAAAATTTACATTTAGGTTATTTATTTACAAAATTAATTAGCAAGTCCCACTACTTAATGACTTTAGAACAGAATGTTTACATGGTAAAAGGTCAAACCTATTAAAAATTAAATATTATTATTAAATTATATATACTGAAACACACTATTAACACAACTAAGACTTTGCATTTGTATATACAAAACAATACTATTAACAATTTTTACATTCTGTAAGAATGTATTTGTACCTATTTCAAGCACTGCAGGTATAATACATTTAGATTTTTATTTTCATTTGAATCAGTAGGTTTAACTTTCAACTTCATTAACTGATTCAATATGTTAATAAAATTTGATGAGACTGACTTAATTCTTTTCACAAGCTAACGTTCTCACAAACGAAATTAACTTAACACAAATCAAAACAGACTCGGTGGAGTAAATTGTCCTACAGCTACAAACCTTAGTTCTAATAAAAACTACAAAACCAATTTAATCTTACTCCTGACCCCTGGTGTTTGACAAGTAAATCTAATCTACTTAACAACAAATAACAATAGGTTGCTGTTAAGGAACAGGCCATGAACAAGATATTTGAACGAGTAAGGACCCTAAGAACTGAGCTGGAACCCTTTGGAATTTAATTAAAAAAGAAGCGGGGGCGACTGGTCTAGTGGTAGAGCACGCGGCATTAGAGGCCGAGTTCCAAGGTTCGAATCCCATAAATCACCAACAAATTGTATTTATGTGATAATGCTGGACCCTCTAAGACTAACCTGAAGTAATGTGTAAAACAGTTCCGGACTGGTGCCTAGCATCCTAGGATGTGAAGGTGGGATATAAAATATCCTCGCCGCAGCAAACCTGCAGACTAAGCGAATTTCCATTTGCCTGATTGGCTTTACACCAAAATGTCTCTTTAAAAATATCACATATATTTCCTAAATAGAATTAGTTTAACAACTAGTACTAAAGGCCAAGTCACACCGAGCTCGCTACCACGGCGGGAGCGAATTTTGAAAAATCACTCGCCATGTTATCAAATGTGCCAAGTTACACCGCAAGTTACGCCCGCAGGCGTGCAGTAGTGTCCACCATGCCTGCTTGCTGAGCGATTTTTTGAGACTAACACGCCAGAGTTTTGTCTGGCGCATGCGGAAAGGTGTATCTCAAATGGCCAAGCTATTTGAAAGCTTAAAAATAATACAGTTTTAAATTAAATTTAACATGTTTCTTTTCTTTGATGATGTGTGTTGTTTAGTATTATTGCTTCCCTACTATGTAATCAATTGTTTCCGTGATATGTTTATTACCAGAAAAAAATCATGGTTGTTTATCATGCAAATTTAATGTTTCCTATCAGATCTTTTGTCGACGTAAACAAACAATTTTTTTATTGTTTCATCAACTGTTTCAATTTGCAACAACAAAAACTGTACAATCAATGTAAACTTGAACTTTTAATAGAAGGCTTTGACAAATTTAGATTAGTTTTAAAACTTTCTTTAAAAAAACTAAAAGTGGGTGATTTACCCTCAACCATATTGAAAATGCGTTCACTACAAACAAAGTCTAAATTATAAAAAAATAATAATTACAGTTCACTTTTTAATGTACAATATACTACTAAATAAATAGGCCTAACATGCTTCTTAAGCACTTTGCTACTTAAAAAAATAAATAAAACAGAAAATTTACATGGCATTCTAAATAGGTAAGATGTGTTTCTTATGTAAAACAAATTTTAACGAAACCAACTCAAATCTCCCGCCGCGGACATGGTACTTTTGGTGTGACATGGCTTAAGGTAAAACGTCCACGCGTGGTACTCCTGCGGTGGATGTCGGTGTGGCATGGCCTTAAGGTTTGCTGCAACAGGGAGGGTAACATTTTTTTTATGTTAACAGTTTAGTAATAATTAAAAACATTTTCCAAATTTGATCAAAATATGTTCATAAACAAGCAAACTACAATAGTTTACATATTCTCCATAAGAATAACAGGGGAATTTTAAATTTACAATTTTTTGGAATTTTTTCCGTAGCCATTAGGGGCACAATAACCGTAATAATACAGTTAATAGAGTAGGGGTTCAGGTCCCGGGTCCAGGTCTCACCATGAGACCTACGGTAATAGCTTATTCCATAAATGGGAAATTCACTAAAATAATCATTCAAATAGAAGATCCGGGAGGCAGTATCAAAAAAATGTTATGAGTTAGCTTATCCTCCCAAAATGTAATACAGTGCATTTTAAATTTTTTTATCAAATTTATTCTCTTCTACGTTTTTATTTATTCTCTTCTGAATTGTTACTCCATTGTGATACACCCTTAGAGGTGTTTGGCTTTAGCATTATTTTTTAGATCAAAAAGCTTTGGTAAAAAAATAAAAAAAAACTTGCTTAACTTTTCAAAATAAATGAATATGCCAAATGTATTGTTGAGCTGTCATTACATTAAATAAAATGGTTTCTTCAAATTTGAGTTATTTATCATTCATAAACTTGTACTAAAAGGTAATCACGCATCAGATCTCTGGGTGGAAACTACATAATGCTACAAACCAAACAACATATTGATTTATTTTAAATAAATTCTAGGTTTACTCACATTAAGTGTATGTACTTTAAAATGTTGACTTTATTTTAAGTATTAAAAAGCTTTAAAGGTTTACTCCTGATTCTCATGTAGTTGAGTTGAATTATTTAGTGACAAGCAGGATGTGCATTCACATTAGAACCATTTCCCACCTCCATAGCTTTTATTTCGCACAGACATATCAAAATTTATGTTAGATCTAATTAAATGTATGCATTAAAAGTAGGGGAAGAGTGGTGGGAAATGCTTTGTCTTCCTTGCACTGCCCTTCCTTGAGGTCATACTAATTGATTCAACTTTTACAACTGGACAAAAAATTGTATTAATTTGAAGAGAAATAAAAGTACTGTATTAAAACGTTTAATTATGATACAAATAATGTTGCAATTTAAAACAGTTACAATTTGATCTAAGGCCGTACCTAATAAATCAGTCTTTTATTGGTAGATACGTTTTTGGAACAAGAAAAAGATAATTTAGTGTAGAAAGTACAACAATTTGCAATTAAGCAAATTATTGGTAATTTAATAATATGCAGTTTAAGCAATATAAATTAAAAAATTCCTGATAGTAAAAAAAAAAAAAACTATTATAAATGCTTACTTCTAAAAGCAATTCTCTTGTTTGCAAGTACGGTATATATTCTCCTACATGCAACTTTTCTGCAGATATTTAACATAACAAAGGCAGTCATAACAAAATCAATATTTAACAGTACAAAGTTTAAAAAGTCTGTACTACTGTTTCACAACAGACTCGCTAAAGTGATAGTTTCTAATGACTAACAATCGATTCTTAACAACAACACATAAATAGTAACATTTTGTACAAACTTCATCGAGAATATTTTAATGTCATTTTATAATATTCTGAATGAACCAACTCTATACACAAGAAATACTTAAATAAATAAAATATAGTAGTCGATTGATGTGACTGGCGTTGATCTGTACATGAATGACAGTGGCTAACATAGTTCAGCCACACACATACTCTGCTGGGGTTGATTTAGGTCTGAACCTGCAACATGTGATATGGCACAATAGACGAATGTTATTATATAAATAACTGAAATATAGTTTGCATCTAGTTGTTTTTCTTACTGGATTCACTAAAATTCAAGCCAGTTCCCACTAATATGGTAATATCAAGCTCGTAAAAATATTCTAAGCATTGTAAAAGAAAATGTACGTTTCACCAAATAAAGATCACGATCTGTGATTGATTTTTTTAGGTTTAAGTCGTCAACCACTATTGTCAATTTAAACCAATTGACCAATAGAATTTATTTGAATTTAAAATTTTCACCATCTCCAGTTGGCAGACATGAATGGAATAGAGTTTGAGGATGGTGTTCTGTATTTTGCCCAGACTGTGGAAGAAATTCTAGAATTCACTGTAGGAAGATTTTCATGATTTTTTGAGTGAATGGAATATGTTCTTGTTTTTGCCATGAATACAGAAGACAACATTTTGTCAAGACTGAAGTAGATGTGCTCAATATTGCGGTGACTGCGGAAGACGTTTATGATTTCACTGCTATATTGATGAGTTAACGACAATGTGTTGTATAAACTGTTTGAAATATTCCAATTGATATATTTTTTAAATAAATACTTTCCAAAGGTACCCAATGTTTGCTAGAGATCTGAGGGTGAAAATGTTTGACCTGCCTTGAAGTAAAAAATGTGGCATGCAGACTTTTAGTAAATGGTATAAGAATATTATTTGGTTTTAAATTTACGGATTTGAATTATCAAAATAGTACTAGGATTCCCAGAGTAGATTATCTAAAAAAACTTACCTACTATTGCAGTCAGCGCTCATGCATTAGCTTTGTTTACCCAGGATTAAACATGAACTACTTGTTCATTATCTTGTTAATCTTGATATAGTAACGGTTGACTGGCTAAAAGTCAATAAAACTATCAGTTTTCTCACCCTCCCTCCAATCTCAAGTGACAATGTGTTTACTTCTCTGGTTTTATGGTATTTCTGTGACATGTCCCCCCTATTTTAAGGTATGTATTGTTAATTAAAGCTTGAATCTTTCATTCTTTTCTCCCTCTCTCCTTTGAACCCACCTTGATGACAGTGTCAGTTGCTGAGGCAGTTCTCTTGACTCTCCAGTACGTGGCCACGGGATGGTGTGGCCGGAGGTGGGGAGGGGTTGAAGGCTGTGGCCAGAGGGAAGCGTTGGTGACACAGGGTCATGTACTCACTGGCAGCATCCCCACAGTCACCAAACTCACCCTTCCGTAGAGAGTTGAGCACTGCTGTACAAACCTGCACCAATACAATCACACCATTAACTACTAGGCCAACTTGTAGACAATATAAATGTGAAAAAATTACAATTATCATTACTGAAAACAATATATATTTCATTAGTCCCTTAATTATCCGGAATAATAGAGGGAAAATAATATTTTTTGTAAATTGTATATAATGTTACGTGCAATTGATGTTATTGCTACTAAATTTTAATAGATATCGCTTTTGGCATCAACTGTCAACAATCGATTCTCTTTACTGATCCCAATGTCCATGAATCTGAGGTAGGCCCTGTTGAGAATTTAGATTCCTACTGGAAAGCTCCTGGTTTTTTTTTTCTTCTCATCCTCTCTCTTTAGAAAAACACTCCTTGCATGTTTTCTTCATTGTTTGGTTTTGTTCATAGTACTAATTGTTTTTAGTTTAAATTCAGTAAACCGCCACACATAAAATTAAGGAAGGAGGGGAAGGAGTCCTACTAATTGATTAGCTGATATGATAAAGCATGGCTTTGCAGTTGTCTGCAGGACAACATCACTGTGCTCACGATGCAATACCAAAATAACATAGCTAACAATACAGTAGCTGGTATAACACTTTTGTATTAACTAATGGCAAGACATAAAAACTAGTTGGACATGTTCTAATTTTTAAAATGTTATAAACATGTGTTTATATGCTACCAGTTTATGGCCAGTGTAAGGCTCTCTTCAGGCTTGTAGCCCCCCGTAATCATGGACCCGGGGAGCTGAGGCAAGAGATATTAATCAAAACCATAGGTAGCATTAAATCAAGGCAATCGCTGTGGAAGAGTGAGATTTAAATATTCAACTCACATCAAGGTGTATGTAATTTAAACTAAGTTTGGTTTAGTACAAGTTTAATTTAAGGATGTAAATATAATTTATATTTTAAAATATAAAAACTTATTGGCTGGTAGATTACCGGAACGGTAACTCCTTCCATCGTAGAATCCAAGTTAGTCACAAGTTTAATGGCAGTTGCTTGACTTGAAGGATCCAGTAAATACATCATTTTCGCACCTAGAAATAATATAAACATGGAATGAAAATTTAAAATCGTACTAACCAAATATTGTAATATAAATTATAGACACAATGGTATGGTTTACTTTTCAAAATCAGGTAGTTTCAGTTAATATTTAACAATATTTAATTCAACAACAAGGGTTGATTGGTTTTAATTTCAGAGCCATAAGGGAAATAATGTACTCTATGAAGTTAAGCAATCAATTAGAGTTGCTTGTGTATGAAAGCTGCACACACTAACTTTTTTACATTATAAACACTGGTCATACCTGCTGACATACTCAATTTACACTGATCTATGCAGCATAAAGTTCCTTGTTCATGACGCAGCATCTGTGTGAAGGATCCCGCATATATCAGTGTAAATAGAGTATAAATAGTGTATATAATGTAAAAAGTGTAATGGGTCAAAATTATAGAGGGGTTAGGATTTTATATCTATTATGAAATAATGAAATAATGAATTTATTTCCTCCAATAAAAACACACAATGGATACAAATATGACTTGGAAATTAACTTATTTATTCATCAGTAGGCCTATTCCTTACCTGGTTGGTGATAGTGGTAAACCTATCTTGGTAAGGAAAATAGCTGTAGTAGGCCGTCTGAGGCCTAGCCTAGGGTTGAAGTAGGGATAACCCCTTTTTTTTTGGCAAAATCACTAAAGACACTGTTTTTGGTGTATAAAAGTCATGAAATAACATTGTTGTGTACAAAACAGGCGATGAACTGTTTTCGTGTAACCCCCACACCTAATATAAACCTTTGGGAAGAATGCCAAAGTTGTTGTGCAGGCTAGGGTGGTGAATTGCGATCACGAATATAATATCATGTAACATGAGTACACTGTGTTGAACACTGTATTACTACACTATGTCGAACATGGGTGGAAATTATACGTCTTTGTTTATATCAGCAACGATACTAAAGTTCCGCCGAATAATTTCACAGTCGGCGCAGGTAAATAACATCATAACCTCTACCCATAGCCGACTGCCCGGGCGTTGTGAATCGTGACAGCGCCAGGGTTTGTGAACTCGTGACGTCATCGATCATCAGGGAATGGATCAGCTGATTCCCTATCCCTAAAGGATTAGAGAGGGGGAAGGAAGGGAGATCCCTCGTGGGCTAGGGATGTAAGGAACATTCTCATCCTATGTTTAACAGAGTGAAGTCGTGATTTAATAGACCAGTCGAGTGCTTTTGCTGGAGTTCTTGAGTCTATAGTGGGTTTGAGTGAAAGCACCTGGAGTTTATAGGTAACTCACCGTATATTTTTAATAGTGCTTACTATCATTTTCAGAGTATTTAGTTAGTGATAACCCTCACTTTATTATCTTAATCATAAAACTCACGGTAGGGCCTTTGTTGGGTGTTTGAACCTGTATAAGTCCGTGTTAGCGCATGCTAGGGCTTGTGTGGGTTGGTGATAAAGGGTAGGAGGTACGGTGAGCTTGCCAGCATGAAGATAGAGACTATAAACTGTGAGGTTGATGAAACTGCAAAAATAGTTTATTTAGGAATTTTATTTGTTGAAAGAATTTTAATTATTTCAAAATTTAATTAGATATTCCCAGGTGTGATGATGGTACAGTAGCGCTGTTTGTTATCGGTACAGAGTTCACACCTGATTTACACTACATTTTTGTGCATAAAAATCTGTACCCATGGTAGGATGTCAAATTAATTGTTTTAGTATCTGAACCCTGGAAACTTCCCAGCACGCCGACTTGAGCGATCCGCTGGCGAGAGTTGGTGACGTCTTTCCCGCTATAACTGCGATATAGGGTATATATTCCTAGCGAGAAAATCGTCACATTACAAAAGAAAATTCAACAAACCTCCCTGAAACATATGGAATGACTGAGGTGAAATATAATGGAGAAAAAACAGAATTCTGCAAGAACAAAGGCTACAAAAGAAGGTAAATAATTCAATTTCCGAGTTATTGTCACTCATTAAGACTATAGGACTATATGTTCAGTCCTTAGCTGTTGGGTGATTCATTTCTGTAGCATTTACCTTGGAAGACAGCAGGGAGGTAGTGAGAGTGAGTGTCCAGGAACTGTTGGTTGATGGTGTGAGGAGATCGGTCACCAGTGATGGGTCCCAGACATGTCTCCAGCACCTGCTTGCATGGCTCTGACAGTCTGTCCTGAGCCAGCCACTCCTTATACCTCAGCGCCAGTCTGATGACACAGCTGTGGACCTCTGGATGGTCAGGGGCCAGTCGGTGCATCCGCCTCACACTCTGCAGCATCAGCAGCGCTTTGTCTACAAACAACAACAACTGTTCAGTAATGTTGCCGTCCTGCACCAGCCACTCCTTATACCTCAGGGCCAGTCTGATGACACGCCACAGCCCTGTGGACCTCTGGATGGTCAGTGGCCAGTCGGTGTATCCGCCTCACACTCTGCAGCATCAGCAGCTAGGCCGTTGCAAGACGGCCTAATCCTATTACGCTTTCCCACGGAATTCAAACCATCTCAATCTGCGATGCTGTTTCCTTTACCAGAAAGACAACTCCTTAGACTGCAAAGCTTTAATCAAGCCTAATTATTGGTTAATCCCATGAAAATGCTAATAAACTAAGCTTACTTTTCAACAATAATTTTAGTCACAAAGGCCTTTAACTCAGGACCCACAATATCTTGAGGCTCTAAGGTTGAAGGTGATTTGCACAGAATTGGATTTGAAGCTTCGTAATAATAGAAAATTATTAAAGGGCGTTTAAGATTCTTAAGTAAAAATCCTTGAATTGACAAACATACTCCGATCATCCAATCATCTTCCGATATACCAGAATATGATAGGATTTCCTAGTCAGGGCTCACCTTTTCTGGAGTATATCTCAAATGCCATTAGGTGGGTCTCCAGCAGGTTGGAGCACAGGGATTGTAGGGGCTGCAGGAACTTGATGGCTTGGTCTAATGGATCGTCCACCTGCAACAGATTTGTGACAATGTAGCTCATACATCAAACTAATATCCAAAGTTATAAGTAGCGCATTTCCCATATTACTCTACCCTACCCTACACTAGGTATGAGGAATGTTTGGCATTACCTTGGCTAGTTTGTCTGGCACCAGCTCATCCTGAGGAGGTGCGTCAGGCTCAGTGTCCGCTTGTCTGTTCTTGTGTTGCTCTCTTTTCTCAGCTACTGTTGCTGCTGCTGCTTTCTCCAGTTCAGCCTTTCTTTTTGCTTTTCGTTGCTTGTTACGTAGCTTCTTCAGCTCTGAAGGTGCCAGGTTTTCTAAAGTAACATTCAAACTATTAGGACTCCAATTAAAACATAAAAAGAATTTTACATATTTTATAGTTAGTAAAAAAAGAGAATGGGTAAACCAAATCTTAGAGAAAGCTGAACAAGACAGGACAGCAAACAACAGTAGAGACTTCTACCGATCAATAAGATTTTTTAGGAAGGGATACAGTCCAATGCCATATGGGATTAAAAACAAATCAGGACAACTGGTGGTGCAGAACAAAGAAGGACTACAAGTATGGCAGGAACATTTTAAAGATCTTTTGAATGTAAGACAGTCTGAACAAGAAGAAGAAGAGGAGGAAGTGTACCAGAATGTAGATCCAATTGTACCATACCCAACAATTCAAGAAGTAAAAACGTCCATCAAGGAATTAAAAAATAATAAAGCCCCAGGGGAGGACTCTATCCCATCGGAAGTAATCAAAGCAGGAGGCACAGAACTGGCAAGGGAGATCCACAAACTGATCATTGATATTTGGGACAACGAATTGATTCCGAATGAATGGAAGGAAGCAGTTATCATTCCCATTCACAAGAAAGGAGACAAAAAAGAATGCACCAATTACAGAGGAATTTCCCTCCTTAACTGCACCTATAAAGTATTATCAAAGATTTTACAAAAAAGACTAGAGAAGTATACATCAAATATCATAGGAGACCATCAAGCCGGCTTCACAAGAGGAAGATCAACCACGGATCAAATTTTTATATTGAAAGAGGCAATTGCAAAATATTATGAATTCAACAAATCCTTTCTCTGCCTTTTCATTGACTTCTCCAAAGCATACGACTCGATCACTAGGGGAAAACTCTGGAAAGTAATGGAAAAGTATGGAATACCTAAAAAGTTAATAAATCTATCAAAGTCAACTGTTTCAGGATCTAAATGCAAGGTTAAAGTCAATGGAGAATTCTCAGAGGATTTTGATATAAATACTGGTGTGAGACAAGGAGATGGTTTGTCCCCATTGTTATTCAACCTAGCTCTGGAAGACTCTATACAAGAATTACAAAAGCTAGAAGCTGGAATTACTATGGGAACCAACATTAATATCCTGGCATTTGCAGATGATGTGGCACTTGTGGCCAAAAACGAAGAAGAACTAAAAGTTATGGTCTCAAAACTCATAAACCACACTAAAAAAGTTGGCTTAAATATCAATGTAGACAAAACCAAGATAATGGAATGTGGAAGAGCTATCCAATTAAATAATAAGAATCATGTAGAAATAGAAGGACACAAATTTTATAAAGTAAACAATTTCTCTTACCTAGGAGTAATGCTGACAGATAATAATGAGGAAGACTCTGAAATTCAGCAAAGATTAAATGCAGCTCATAAAAGTTTATCGGCATGCCACAAATTGTTGAGTTCTCGCCTACTCTCACAGAAAACTAAAATCCGTATATACAAAACTATAATAAGACCAGTATTACTATATGGCTCAGAGAATTGGGTGATAAGCAAGAGAACTGAGAAACGACTTATAGTGTTCGAAAACAAGATTCTAAGGAAAATCTTTGGACCAACCTTTGAAAACGGAGAATGGAGAGTTAAGCACAACAGGGAGTTGAGAGAGTTGTACAGGGACCCAGATATTGTGGCTGAGGTGAGAAGTAGGAGATTGAGATGGGCAGGCCATGTGTTAAGAAAGGAAGAGGGATCCTTAGTGAGAAACGCCCTAAACAACAATCCCGAGGGTAGAAGACCTCCTGGAAGGCCCAAGTTGAGGTGGAGAGATCAAGTGAGAAGAGATCTGAGAAGAATGGGAAGAAGAGAGGATGAAGCAATGGATCGTGCAGTCTGGAGGCAGTGTGTTGGCGAGGCAAAGTACCTCCTTGGGTACCAAGAGCCACGGCAGTAAGTAAGTAAGTTTATAGTTAGTCAAGAAGCTGTGGTATCTAGTGAGAGGTGATTCACTGTTTTAAAAACTGTGTTATTAAATTTATTTCCACCATTACTATTCTAAATGGTCCCAGCCTCAATGCTCGATTACTATATCTTCATCATACTGACAAATTTAACCTGTGGAGATCATCACTTGTACTAACTATGAATCACTTTCTAATTTCTGTGGTCTAAGGGCTCAACCCCAATTAAAATTTAATTAGTGTGAATGGAGAAAAGGGTTAGGTGGTAGAAAAAATGAGGAGCATAAGGGATGAAGGAAGTTTGGAGTTTGTGGTATGTACAAATTTGCTGGTGTAGGCAGGCATAGGTCTATAATCAGTTTTGTTTGAGTAATATAAATAAAGGAAAATTCGGAAATTTTGTATGCCAAACGAGATGCAACTGAGAGAGAGTTGCTCAGCTGATAGTGGACAACAGGACCCTGGTAACCTTAAGGCTCAGTATTGGGCCCACTTTTTTTTCTTATTTACATTAATGATCTTCCAAAAGCTATTAATAAAGAACTAATTCTTTTTGCCGATGACACTACTGCTTTGATCAAAAATAATAATACAGCTGAAATGTTTTCTTCTCTGCAAAGTGTGGTAAAGGACATGGAGCAATGGTTTTTAGAAAATGGGTTAAAATTTAATGTTGAAAAAACAAATATTATTAAATTTTCTACTAGACACAAAAATATGGAAAACTGTTCCTTTAATTTAATTGAAGCTCATAAATTCTTAGGGGTTTACGTAGATGACACAGTTAAATGGGATTCACATTTGAATTATTTACGTAACAAAATTAGGTCGATATCATCTTTATTCATACATTTAAGGGACTGTGTTTCTATTGAGACACTTAAAGTAGTTTATCATGCTTATGTGGAGTCAGTGTTAAGATATGGCATAATTTTATGGGGTCAAGCTACTGGTATTAAAACTTTATTCAGGTTACAAAAACGTATTATTCGTATTATTACCAACTCTCATCTACGCAGTTCTTGTAAGAAACATTTTCAAAATTTAAGAATTCATACATTAACGGGGTTGTATATTCTAGAATTATTAAATTACATACATTCAGTTAAAAATGAGCTACCAGAAACAATACATTTTAATCACAGGTATGAAACCCGAAATGAAAATATATTTAGACTCCCCAGACACCGTTTGACCCTATATGAAAAATCTCCATTGTACGCTGGGCTGAGATTGTACAATGTGCTTCCGCCATGCTATAAGTCATTAAGCAAAACCAAATTTAAAGATACAATAGATAATTTTCTTATTGACAAGGCTTTTTTTACTTAATTGAAGATTTTTACAGAACTACAATTTAGAAATTTTTTTTTAAGTGTTTAATTTTAAGTTAAAAGTTTTAATGTTAAATATTTTATGTATGGATTTAATTTTGACAATGCACCTATTCTAAATGTTATGACATGTATGGAATGTTTTGCAAATAAAGTCTATGTCTATGTCTTAGGCCCAATTCACACAGAACGGACGTTGGGCGGAGACGTGGCACGGACGATGCAAGGACATATGTCCTTTCTCGCCTTTCCATGTAAACAAATTGGTCAATGCACACACAAGTGACGTGACGCGGGCGGCCGCCCTCCCGCCACCGCCACGTCGCTTCGGCGTGTGTATTTTGTGTTCAGAGTAATGGTGAGTTGTTTCTTGTTCTTTTCACTATGCGAGAGGACATTGAATTCAATCACAGATTTTGTGAGAAGGTTGAAAAATTCCCTTGTTTGTACGATCACAGTCGTACAAACTAACTAATCAACAGAGTCGACAGAAATAACTAATTCAGTTGACACAAATAACTAACAGATATAGTCAAAAACCAAAACGTCTAGTCTACATACAAGTTTTCTCGCCACTGTACCGTCCCTTCTGTGTGCATTGTACATGCCACGTCTCCGCCTGACGTCCGTTCTGTATGAATTGGGCCTTAAACACACAGAACCGTGACGGTTCTGTACTCATATTTTTTTATCACTTATCAGGTTTCTTGCGGCTGGTTGGAGTTTAATAGATACAACGATATTTTGATATAGACTTGAATAAAATGGCACACCGTCTGAACCTTCCATTATTATCTGCCCGAAGAATATTACTACTCGACCATCGACCTGCTGTTCCTATTCAGGATAGTAAACAACCCACTGGCCTGCTGGACTGTTCTGAGATCCTCCATCAATTGGATTTCAACGTTCCACGTCACGCTCGCCGACATAAACTGTTCTCCAAACACTTCCTACCAACCATCTACAGTTACCAAAGCAAAATACCAAGGATTATGAGAGTCTGGAGTGAGGTTTGTGCTGACTTGGACTTTTTTGGTTCTACCATTGAAACTAGAAGAGAACACTAAACTTAATTTGTTGATATCGTTATTAAGTCATTGTTATAGTTCTGTTATTATATTGTGTTATATTGTTATTGTATCAGGCTATTTTTGACCAAATTTATTGTTATTTTGTTATATAATTATGTTATTACCTATTATAGTTTTATATATATGTATATATTATTATTATAAGTCTATATTATTATAATTCTATGTTATTAATTGTTGTTAAAATTAAAATTATGGCCTTTCCTTTGATTGCATCTCAATTAAAATGAGATTAGGATTCAATCAAACTGCTACACACAGTTACATAGTTAAGGGAATTTATGCAATGTTTTGTTGGATGTTATTTTTGCTTTTTCAAATTACTAATGCAAATCTGGAAGAATCAATATAGACTGTAATGGATATTGTTTTTTCCTGCCATCAGATTTGTAATTTTTTAGCGAATTTCCCTATAGGGAAGTAGCTATTACCGTAGGTCTCATGGTAAGACTTAGGCCCGGGACCGATTTACTTTTTCATTTTGATGTCCCCAGAGGCCAAAAACACCATTCGTTCAAATTTTTATATATGTATATATATATATATATATATATATATGTGTCCGTGAACACGATAACTTGAGTAATTTTTATCCGATTTTGATGAAATTTGGTTTGAAGGTGTAAGGCGGGAAAAACTTGAACGAGTTCGCGATCCAGCAAGATCGGACCATGGGAACAGTGTT